AAGCAGCTAACCAGAGCAGGTTCAGGTTATTTACTTCTTTTTTTTGTCTTCTTCTAGCTTTATTGAGATATAATTTAAATCTAGCACTGTATAAATTGAAGGTGTACTGCACAAAATTGACTTCTATACATCATGAAATGCTTATCACGATAAATTTAGTGAATGCCCATCATCTCGTACAGATACAAAATGAAAGAAATAGAGAAACATTTTTTTACCTTGTGATGAGAACTCTTAGGGTTTACTCTCTTAATAGCTTTCATATATAACATACAGCAGTGTTAATTATATTTATTATGTTGTACATTATATCCCTAGCACTTATTTATCTTATAGCTGGAAGTTTGTACCTTTTGACTGACTTCAGCAGATTCCCCCTCCCCCTCCCCCACGCCTCTGGTAACCACACATATGATCTCCTCTTCTATGAGTTTGTTCATTTGTTTGCCTTTGAAGTATAACTGACCTGCAACACTATGTTGGTTCCTGGTACACAACATAATGATTCGATATTTCTATTCATTTCAAAATTATCACCATGACAAGTCTAGTTACCATCTTTCACCATACAAAGACATTACATACTTATTGACTATATTCCCCACACTGTACATTTCATACATGTTACTCATTTATTTTGTACCTGAAAGTTTGTACCTCTTAATCTCCCTCATCTATTTCTCTCCTCCTTCCACCCCTCTTTCTTCTAGAAACTACCTGTTTGTTCTCTGTATCTATGGTTCTGTTTCTGTTTTGTTATGTTTGTTCATTGGTTTTGTTTTTTAGATTCCACATATAAGTGAAATCATACAGTATTTGTCTCTGTCTGACTTATTTCACTTAGCACAATACCCTCTAGGTCCATCCATGTTGTTGCAAATGGCAAAATTTTATTCTTTTTTTATGGCTGAGTAATATTCTTGTGTGTGTGTGTCTTTATTCTTTATCCATTCATCTACTGATGGGCACTTAGGCTGCTTCCATATTGTGGCTATTGTAGATAATGCTGCAATGAACATAGGGGTGGATATATCTTTTCGACTTAGTGTTCTTATTTTCTTCAGAAAAATACCCAGGAGTGGAATTCCTGGATCATATGACAGTTCTATTTTTAATTTTTTGAGGAATCTCCATATTGTTTTTCATAGTGGTTGTACTAATTTAAATTCCCACTGACAGTGCACAAGGGTTCCCTTTTCTCCACATCTTCTCAACACTTGTTGCCTTTTTGACAATAGCCACTCTGACAGGTGTGAGATGATTTCTCACCGTGGTGTTGATTTGCATTTCCCTGATATTAGTGACGTTGAGCATCTTTTTCTGTGCCTATAGGCCATCCGTATGTGTTCTTTAGGAAAGTGTTCTCTGAGGTATGTTCCCGCTATACCCATTTGTTGAGAGTTTTTTATCATAAATTCAACATAGATGTTTAATTTCGTCAGAAGCTTTTTCTGCACCTATTGAGACAATCTTGTTTTTATTCTTCAGTTTATTAACGTGGTGGATCACAGTGATGGATTTGTAGATATTGAACCATCCTTTCATCCATGGGATACATCTTACTTGATCATGGTGTATGATCCTTTAATGTATTGTTGAATTCAGTTTGCTAAGATTTTATTGAGGATTTTTCATCCATGTTCATTAGTGATATTGGCCTGTAATTTCCTTTTTTTGTGATACTTCTGTCTTGTTTTGGTGTGAGGGCGACACTGGCCTTGTAGAATGAACTTGGAAGCATTCCTTCCTCTACAATTTTTTGGAATAGTTCGAGAAGGATAGGTGTTAACTTTTCTTTAAATGTTGGGTAGAATTCATCTGTGAAGCTATCTAGTCCTGGACTTTTATTTGTGGGAGTTGTTTTATTATTGATTCAATTTCATTACTGGTAATTGGTCTGTTCATATTTTCTATTTCTTCCTGGTTCTATCTTAGGAGATTGTACATTTCTAGGGATTTTTCCATGTCTTCTACATTGTCCATTTTATTGGTGTATAATTGCTTTTAGTAATCTCTTATGATCCTTTATATTTCTGTAGCATCGGTTGTAACTTCTTTTTCATTTCTGATTTATTTATTTGAACCCTCTCTCTTTTTTTTTCTTGGGGAGTCTGTCTAACGGTTTGTCAGTTTTGTTTATTTTTTCAAAGAACCAGCTCTTAGTTTCATTGATCATTTCTATTGTTTGTTTTAGTCTCTATTTCACTTATTTCTGCTCTGATCTTTATGATTTCTTTCCTTCTACAGACTTGGGTTTTGTTTGTTCTTTTTCTGATTCTTTTAGGTATAATGTTAGGTTGTTTATTTGGACTGGGTCCAAAGGCTGCCTATGGGGCCCCAGGGGTCCCAGGGCTAGTGCTGGCCCACTGGTGGGTGGGGCTGGGTCCCAGTGCAGCTGGGGTGTTAGAGGGTCCTATGGCATCTGACTTGCCGGTAGAGGGGGCTGTGTCCCTGCCCAGCTATCTGCTTGGCCCGGGGTGTCCCAGGACTGGTGCTTCCTGGCTCGTGGGTGGGGCAGCATCCCGGCACTAATAAGCTGGAGGAAGGATTCCAAAATGGCACACTTGCTAGCACCAGTGTTTTCATGGTTGGATGAGCTTCCGAAATGGCTGCTGCCAGTGTCTATGTCCCCAGAGTGAGACCCAATTGCCTCCTACCTGTCTCAGAGACTCTCCAAGACAGCTGGTAGGTCTGACCAGACTCCTTTCAAATTACTGCTTCTGTCCTGGGTCGCAGAGGATGTGAGATTTTGTGTGCATCCTTTAAGAGTGGTGTCTCTATTTCCTACAGCCCTCTGGCTCTCCTGAAAGTTAAGTACTGTTGGCCTTCAAAGCTAAATGTTCCGGGAGCTTATCTTCCTGGTGCAGGACCCCTGTGGAGCTTGGACCCCTCACTCCTTGGGGAGAATTTCTGCAGTTGTAATTATTCTCCCATTTGTGGGTCAGCTACGTGGGAGTATGGGTCTTCCCTTCCTAGTTGTCTCTGCCCTTCCTAGTTGTGTTGCCATGGTTCCTTCCCTGTAGCTTTAGTTGTAGAAGATCTTTTCTGCTAGTCTTCATGTCTTTCTCATCAATAGTTGCTCTGTAAATAGTGGTAATTTTGGTGTGCCCATGGGAGGAGGTGAGCTCAGGATCTTCCTACCCTGCATCCTTGGCCACTGTCTATTTACTTCTTATAAACAGTTTCACAATAGATACATTTAAGTACACTCTGATCAGGTTAGGTTGGAAATGTTAGCTCACAAGCTCTTCGCGTGTAAAGACCATACTTTAGCCATTTTGAAGTTCCCTCCCCATGACCTAGCTTCTAGCAACAGTCTCATAAAAGTTTCAGCTATTCATCAATCCATCAAGAGATTCAGGTTTGCCATTATGTATAATTTAATTGAATTATTTAATAAATACTCTTACTATTTGCTGAGTAATATTCTACATGCCTTATAAATATTAATTCATTTACTCCTCAGTGATAACCCCACAAAGTAAGGGCTATGGTTATCTTCCTTTACACACGAGGGAACTGCGGTACAGAGAAGTTAAGTAACTTGCCCAAAGTCACATAGCTAAGTAAATGGAAGTGCTACGGCTTGAAACTTACTCATCTGACTCCTAACATCTGCACAATGATGCCTTGGATTAACTGGTCCCCACTTTTGGCATCAGTTCCTTATCTGTAAAAGGACAGGATGGACTTGATGACTTTATATACTTACCTTTTGAGTGTTTAATAAGTGCTGAGAACCTTCAAGCATTTTTTTTGGGTTTCATTTCATTATCACAACAACCTAGAGAGAAAGGCGTAGTCTCACCTTACACTGGAGGAAACTGAAGCTTAGAGAGCTTAAGCAACATGCTCAGGTCCCTATAAGTACAACATGGAGGAGCCCAGAGGATTTGAGCCAGGTCTATTTGACTTCTTTTGACCATTCTACTGGGTTGGCCAAAAAGATCGTTCGGGTTTTTCTGTAACATCTTACCTTGCTGCCTCCCCTCAAAGATCTCTTCCAAGGCTAACTTTGCAGAAGTTGATTTATTCATTCATCAAACAACTACTCTGTCTCCTCTTTGCACCAGGCACTGGCTGGCTGCTGAAGGGTCACAGGATGAATTAGACCAGATGTTTCCATCTAGGACGGTATTAGTTGCAAACATGTCTCATCTCTCTCTAATGGAATGAAATACAAAATAGAAGCAACTAAGTGAAGAGGAGGGGTCCAGATGAGTGTGACAGGGCTCAGAGGAAGGAGCATTTTCCTGTTGATGAGCTTAGGGAAGGCATTCTTGAGAAGGTGGAACCCCTTACTGTTCACTACTGATTTTCTCACTTGAGATGATGCCTGCCAAGCATTTGTTCTTTTGTGATTTTTTCAGGATGGAGAAGGATGATGTAGCATTTGGGAAAGAAGAGGCAGCATATGAGCCTTGCTCCTGATGCCAAGATGGCAAAGACCTGCATGGCTATTATGTCTTTGCTTCAGGCACTCATGCACGCAGGGATGAAGGACACTTAGGTGGGCTGGGAAGGCCACCGGCAAGCTAACCAGACCTAGCAAACCCAAGTAACCCAGCATGGCATAAAACAGTTCCAAGGAGCCCTCATCACACTTTACAGCCACTGTGGACCCAGGCTCTGTAGAGTTCACAGGTTGTGGGGGCCATCTGGTCACCCAGAGTGTACATAAGGTTGCCTGGACCAGGGAACAGGCCATGGGGATGGTTCTAGGGAGAACTGGCCCTACCCACTTCCTAATCCGGGTGTGAGGCCAGGTGGCATGGAAGGCTGCCACCACCACAATGGTCTTGGCCAGCACAGTGGACACGCAGATTGTGAAGGTGACCCCCAAAGCTGCCTGGTGTATGGCACAGGTGAGGGGCTCTGGATGACCAATGAACATGAAGGGGCAGAGGAAACAGAGGGCCAAGGAGGACACAGCAGAAGGTAGCTGAGCTGGTGATTATTGGCTTGGACGACGGGGGTGTGGTGATGCCAGACAAAGATGCCTAAGATGTGTCCAGAGCAAGGAGGAAGAGCAGGGCTGTGTAGACGGCCAACACTGCGATGAGGGGCTCGTGGTAGGGCAAGTAGTCGAGGGTTTTGGGGATGCACTGACAACTCCCTGTTGGGCCACTGGTCCTCAGGGCACTTCTCACATGTAGCACTGTCTAAAGGAAGAGAGAGAAACTGGGTCAGAGAACAGAGTGGGGAAGCTTCTGGAAACTTTACCATGGTCAAGCGGTCATACGACTTCTGATGGCTTTTCCAGTAGAATCAGAATATTTCAGCCTCATTACGATGGGCCTTCCAGATTGCCTGATGTCCTCAGACTTAGGGCCAAAAACACACATGGCCGAAATCCTGATAGTCGCTCCTTATCATGCAACAGACTATAGTGAAATAACGTTGACATGGCAACCTACGGAAGCTCTAACTCCTGGTTAGGCTTTGGCCTTTTGAATTGCACAACCATCGTGGCAATGTTGTAATTCATAGTCACAGCTAATTTATTTGTGCATTTATTCATCCGTCAGCCTAGTTTATATGAGGAACGTTTACGGGGCTGCTTAATATGTGCACAGACTCTCTCCTTTTTCATGGAGCCACCCTTTTCTAAGTCACTCCTTTGATAGAACTTTTCAGAGCCTTGCTTTCTTTCTTTTTTTTTTTTTTTTTGTGGTACGTGGGCCTCTCACCGTTGTGGCCTCTCCTGTTGCGGAGCACAGGCTCCGGACGCGCAGGCTCAGCGGCCATGGCTCACGGGCCCAGCCGCTCCATGGCATGTGGGATCTTCCCGGACTGGGGCACAAACCCGTGTCCCCTGCATCGGCAGGCGGACTCTCAACCACTGAGCCACCAGGGAAGCCCCAGAGCCTTGCTTTCTGTAGTGATTTTAAGGAAAGGCTTTGTGGCTAGAGTTCTGGAGCAGTAATATATTCTCATTTAAGCTCTTTCTTTGATTTGGATTCTGAACCTGGTCTTCCTGAAACAATCTCTTTCTTTTTCAGTACATCTACCACCTATTACTCTCCCCCAAACGCATATTGAAACACATGCGGCTTCTCTACTTGAGTAATTCAGTGGTTCCCCATGTCCTACAGAATACGGTTCATGTTCCTGAGTCTGGCAAGTAAGGTCTTCTGTGATGTGACCACCTGCTTCCTACATCTCCCATCCCAGTCTAGACTCAAGTCACACTAGGCTCCTTGTTGCTTTCATGCCTTGAGGCTTCATTAACTTACTCCTTGGCCTGGACTGTCCTTATCATGCTTCATTGCCTTTGAGACCCTACTTGTTGTTCAAGGCCCATATCACATGCCACCCCCTCCAGTGAAAAGTCTGCCTACATATTCTTCATTAGAATTAATCGTTTCTCTCTGCTTTCATACTCAATGCTTGAGCTTTTAGTAAAGCAACTGACTTTAAGCCTAGTTTCTCTATTATACAATGACCATTCTCCTTTAGCAAATCATGAGCTCTGTGGGGCCAGGGGCTGTGCCTTATTTGTTGTTACCACCCTGGCACCCATCACAGTAGCTGCATACAGTAGGTGCCAGTTGCCATCTGTTGAATGAATGACATCTTAGTAAAACATAGATTCAATCATTAGGAGGCTTTTCCTCAATATTTATGGAACGCCCACCATGTGCCAGACATTAAAATAGGCACAAAATTTGGGCAAACTCATGGTTGATGAAAGAAAGAATGAATAGATAGCCGTACATGGCTATAAGGTAGCATGTGGGAAGGGCATATTGACACCATCTTTTTGATCTCCTTTTCCCTGGATCTTTTTCCCCATTAAATGAATCTTCCCTTGATGTAAATATCAGCTCTCATCTGAAACCTTCCTTGGGTGCTGACTGGCCACCTGCTGACCAAGGGCCAGCTTCCCTCTTTACCAGGTGGCATGGACATCTCTTTTCCAGGGCAGGGAAGGCAGCTGTAGCAGCAGTTTGACTTCTCAGATAGGGTTGGCTTCCTAGCTCCTGCAGGACGTTTTTCATTGCAGATGGAGGTAGGGACCTGCACAAGGGAGGAGAGAGAGCACTGGGGAGACTGCAGGGGAGACTGAATAGCACCCGTGCCATCAGGTCTTAGAAGAATTGGCAGCCTCATTCTCACTTACCGGTCCCTCCCTCTTTTCTTTCTTTCTCCCTCTCCTCCCCCACCTTAAAAAATTAAAAACCCTATTTATCTCCTTTTTCCTTTCTTTACCCCTTTCCTCTTTCCTTCCCTCCCTTTCTTGTTCAAATTGTTATCGATGTATTCCATGCATCAAGTACTGTGTAGGGTATTAGGGAGACAACAACAGGTAAAGATGAGTTCTTAAGATGTCACAGTCTGGGGGGAACCAAGAAATCTCAAGGAGAAGAAAGATATGCGCATCATTGCTCCACAGACAAAGGGCTGGCCCCTGGGTGTTGGGCTGGAATTCTGGTTCTGCCATTTATAGGCAGGGTGGCCTGGGGCTTAACCTCTCTAACCGTTAGTTTTCTCTTCGATAAAATGGGGGTAGCAGTTATATCTATTTTGAAGATTGTGTGAGGATTAAATGAGGTGATGCAGTGAAGCCCTTACTACAGTGCCCAGAACACTGTGAATGTATAACAAATGCTAGTGAATAGGATAATATTCTGAATGTTCTGGGAAGTTTGTCCTCCATTCTGGGCTCATCAAATCCCTTAGCTTTTATCTCAAGGGACTTATTTTCCCCCTGAGCCCAAACAGAATTGGGAGACCAATCAATAATGAATCAGATACAAAGACTACAAACACTAGTCAGGCAACTAATTTGCAGTTTCTCAACCCTCAGCATTACCGACATTAGGTGCTAGATACTTGTTGTGAAGCGCTGCCCTGTGCATCATAGGAGGGTTAGCAGCAACCCTGGCCTCTATCCACTGAATGCCAGTAACATTCCCCCCAATCTGTGACAACCAGAAATGTCTCCAGACATTGCTAATGTCCCCTGGGAAGCAAAGTCACTCTGAATTAAGAACAACTGAGATGCAAATCATGCGTGCAGAATGAATTTTCTTGGAAAGATCTGATAAAAGGATTCTTTAGTCTGGGGAAGGAGAAGTGAGGGGAAGATTCCTGAAATAGTCCTCAATGATGACCCCAAAGCAATGGGAAGCAATGCTCATTTCTCCCCTGGAGCTCTACTCTGCTCCCTTGTTTTATTTTTATGAAGTATAGTTGATTTACAATGCTGTACCAATCTCTGCTGTACAGCAAAGTGACTCAGTTATACACATATAGACATTCTTTTTTTTAATATTCTTTTCCATTATGGTTTATCCCAGGAGATTGGATATAGTTCCCTGTGCTATACAGTAGGACCTTGTTGTTTATCCATTCTAAATGTAATAGTTTGCATCTACCAGCCCCAATACTCTGCTCCCTTGCTCATTGGCTCCCTTGTTTCTTTCTCCCAGGATGGGGGAATTTGGCCATTGAGGTGTGACAGTCATGGGAACAGAAAAAAGACAAGCAAGACTAAGGTGAGACCAGAGGGAACTAGGTTGAAATCATTGAGGATGGGGACAAAACATCTATACTTGTTACAGTAATTTTCTTACTCTTTCTGATTACACAACCATGTGGAAAATGCTATGGATGTTTAGAGAAGGGAATGATAAACCCTGCCTGGATGAGTTGGAAGAAACTGCAAGAAGCATGGCATGATACTTGAGATGCAACTGCACTGAAATTAGAAGTCCCCCACCTGGAGACCTTCAATACTTAGGGGTCTGGGAAAGGACAAATGGGGCTCTATGGGCTGTTTTCTATTGTGTAAAAAAGATTGGCATCAATTGTCTATTTCCTGACATAAGGCTACAAGGCTACAACCGAGCAACTCCAGGTAGACACACTAGCTACCTCAGGATAAACTTGAACTGGCAATTATATATAATTTTTTGCTAAGTTATTTTAATATTAATTCTATTTCATTCTTATAAGGTAGTGATTGTTTTTATTTCCCACATTAAATCAAGAAACAAAAGAATTTGCCTGTGATCATACAGCTAATAAGTGGCAATTTGAGATTCAAGCCTGTGTTTTCTAAGTCCAACTTTTAATGTTTCCTCTGATAAGGAGCCATGGAATTCAGCAATAAGTACCGTATAAGACTCTTAAAAATATCATATTCTTTGATCCCAAATTCTACTTCTAAGTACTTATTATACTTATAGGAAATCAGAGGTAATCTTAAATATGTATGCACAAGTTATAACACAACAGAGGTATTTAAATTGCAAAAATTAGAAAACATTGTAATGTCTAATAACAAAAATATTTAAATATCTTCTTAATCTGTATTGTTTAATATTATGCAATCATGCTTCTGAAGATATATAACCCGGCATTTATTGGGATTATATATATATATATATATATATATATATATATATATATATATATAATTTATTTTGCTATTTGTTCATTAATCACCTTTGCCTTTAGCAAACTCCTTTGCTTTTGCAGCCAGAGAATGGTTGTGGAAGGTTTTGTTTGCTGAACAGCCTCAGAGTTGTGTAGGTCAATGGTCTACCCTACCAAGTACTCTGTCAGTTCAGCATAACAAACTCTGCTGGGTGCTTGGGGGTGAGAGGCGCTTGTGGGCTTGGTCCTTAGGGAGGTCTCTGCTCTCACCTTTAAGCGCCCTTCAGATAATAGCACTGTCATTTATCAGCAGCTCTTTTCCAGGAGGTAACCTCAAGTCAGAATGTCCAACAGTCAGGGTCTGTTCTCTCTGGTCTGGGAGGATGTAGATGTTTTGAATGTCAAACGTTGCCAGCATCTCCCCCTCTTTAGTGAAGCAAACCTCTTCCTGTGCTTTGGTGGTGAAGCGAACCTTTTGGGTGTAATGGAGCATCTGAGACAGAGACAGAAGGTAGAAGGAGGGAAGCTGGTTAGGAGCAGAAGAGGCACAGGGCTTCCTTCACATCATGGACTGTCCTCCCACATCTGTGCTTGCCAGCCCTTGGAGGAAGGCACCTTATCTCTGTACATTTTATGAAAAATGAACTCTGCTTTCTCATCTCCCAAGTTTGTGCTAACCTGTGATAAGCAGGGGATTGAAAGTTGAGTCAATGGAAAGCTGGCAGTATTGGGTCTTGCCTAAGCTAAATTCACTCATAGGATGGTCTTATGAACATGGGTCTCTGTTCATCCAATTTTGCACCATCTGTCCATACAAATTACTAAGCTTCCTTCTTCGTGCCAGACATGACTGGTAGCTAGGACACAAAAGCTCAGTCCTGCCTTCAAAGCGTCACCACGTTCATCTCTGCAGTGTGGCTAATTAGGGAATGCTTCTGATTAAAAGGTGTTATAGACCAAGGATTGTGAATGTTTCAATGCATCCCAAACACTCCATAGCTGGGAGAATCTCAGCTTCTGTGACTATCAAAGCCCCATTATCATTCCCTTCTGGGAATAGCTTAAGTAGTAAAAAGGGCAGGTCAGGCCAAGTGCCTTTAGGAGCCCACCAGGGTCTTCAGAGTGGGTGCTTTGGGATCTTTCAACACCTCTGGAGAAGATGGAATTAACTTTGATTCTGTGATTAGGTTGTGATCTTTTCCAGAAACCTGGAACTCTTTAAGAAAACCTTTGAGGTTCTTTATAATAGAGCTCCCTCTTGCCTTTCCGACCTTTTCTTTTCACTGTTTTTTTTCTTTTTCCTTAGTCTGTTCCATGCTTTGAACCAGCTAGATCACTTTCCCACCCCTGCACATGCCATACCCTCCAATATCTGGTATCTGTGATTGTTTATGACTCTTTACAACTAGAGTGTAAACACTTTGAAGGCAAGCACGCATTTTGCACATTTCTGTACCCCCATTGCTCCAAGGTGAATGAAGGTTGCTTTGTAAATGCTTGTGGCATGAACACATATATATATATTTTTAATTAATTTATTTATTTGCTCTTATTTTTGGCTGTGTTGGGTCTTGGTTGCTGTACATGGGCTTTCTCTATTTGCAGCTAGCGGGGGCTACTCTTCGTTGCGGTGCACAGGCTTCTCATTGTCGTGACTTCTCTTGTTGCAGAGCCTGAGCTCTAGGCGCGCGGGCTTCAGTAGTTGTGGCGCACAGGCTTAGTTGCTCCGCGGCATGTGAGATCTTCCCGGACCAGGGCTCGAACCCGTGTCCCCTGCATTGGCAGGTGGATTCTTAACCACTGTGCCACCGGGGAAGCCCCTGAACACATATGTGTTGAATTAAGCTATGGAAGCCCTGTAAGACTACAGGAGGGAGTTTGAACAAATCACTTTGCTGGGGGCAGAGTTGGGTCTAGAATCGTGAAAGATTCCTGGAGTTCTTCAGCTTTGAGAGGCAGTGCCCAGACTCTGGAGCCAGGTTGCCTGGTGTGATTTCCAACTCTACCTGAACCAGCTGTGTGGACTTTGGATATGTTATTCTACCTCTCAGTATTCTCATCTGTAAAAAGGGGACCTACCTCATAGGGTCATGAAATGTATTAATACGTATAAAGTGCTTGGAACTTTACTTGGATAGAATAGCACTCAAAAAGTGTTAATTAACTATTATTACTCTTATAGCCTTAGAAGAACTCACATGATATAAATACTGATAAAATTGCCTAAAACCTATCTTAAAGAAGCTGTGCCTGGTTTGAAGACATTCTTTTAAAATTAAGAGGAGTTTTCTTCTATTCTGAATTTGTTTCTATAACTTTGCTTGGATATTTGCAGTGGTGTGTTGTTAAATGTTTAACAACTGGCTCTCTGGGGAGAAAAGCCAGGATTTTAGTGTTTGCTGATTTCCATGGTTTAACAAACAATTTGCATAATTCCTGAATATTTTACAAAGACTCTCATTGCCAGTAGGAGCCAGCTCTCTCTTCTTCATCTAAACCCCTGATGTCTTTAATAATAAGGGATCTGATCCATAGTCACTTTGGTCCTAAATTCAGTTCACCTTTCATTAGACCATACCATCCGTCTGCTAGTCTCTGGGATGAACAGGGACTGGGCGAGGGTCTTGGCTGCCCACCTATCAAGGCCTGGCGTTCTGTGAATTAGCACAAGTGCCTCCCAGGAAGGGTCCTTATCTCTTGGGAGCAGTCCATCAGTTTCTGATAGGCAGCCAGCAGGGCTTTGGCGGCCAGGTAGGCTTGGTAAGTGGCCGTTAGATCAGGAAGTTTGAAGGCAGACAGATGGACAGCTGTCACGTTCTCAAGCCCCGTGCAGTTCTGAGCCCCTTCTCTGGCACTTGGGGTGGAAGCCCCTCATCCAGGCCACCTGCATCCCTGCAGCTGCTCCCACAGCTTCCTCACCAGACTGTTGCTTGCGTAGGCGGCTGGGCGCAGCGCCAACAGTAAATCCTCAAAGCCGGGCATCAGTCCTGAGTGTACGGTCATGCTCAAGCTGCCGTTCAGCAAGCCCAGAGCCGTGGGGCCCGGCACCGAGGGACTGTGGGAGAAGGAGGTGAAGAGCCACGTCCTCCCGGTCACATTCTTCCAAATGGCTTCGGCCAGGAGCCTGAGGTGGAAGTGCTAACAGTCACAGACGATGACGTGGCAGCTGCTCTGGCCTTTGATATATGTTATACATTATGTCCAGGTCGTTCCAAAGCCTATAGGCTCAGGCCCGAGAAGCCAATTCACCTCACTGCAATAGACTAAAGAACATATCTTAGGGTGCTGGTGAAAGAAAGATATGCTAAGTGTTTTGTCATTCTATATTGTATATTTCTTTACACTATTTGAGAAATGAAGGTTCAAGTGACTTAAAAACTTGAGTTATCATTAGAAGAGTTGAAACAGGATATAGAACTTCCAAAGCACTGTAAAGAAAATAGATTTCAAAAATCAGGAAATTTCGAGAAAGGAGAAAACAAGAAAGAAGTATAATAAATAGAAAACTATAATAATAGCAATCATAAATGAAAGCATAGACATCCCTTCTAACTAAATAACAAATGAAAGTGCCTTCTACTTATTATTTCTATCATTATGGTTTATTAGTTATTAATAAAAAGTTATGACAAAGCATATGAAAGGGAAAATTTTATAAGATGGTGGAATAACATCAGACACGTTAGAGTAAATGTGAAGGGTTAAATTACTCTAGTTAAGAGAGCTGTGTCACAGTACTATACATAAAATAGATAACTAGTAAGAGTAAATGTGAATCAGTAAATGTGAAGGGTTAAATTACTCTAGTTAAGAAGAGTGCTGTGTCACACTACTATATATAGGATAGATAACTAATAAGGACCTACTGTATAGCGCAGGCAACTATTCAATACTCTGTAATGGAAAAAAAATCTAAAACAGAGTGGATATATGTATATGTATAACTGATTCACTTTGCTGTATGCCTGAAACTAACACAACATTGTAAATCAACTATACGCCAATAAAAATTAAAAGAAAAAAAAAAGGAGAGTGTGCTGGGTTCGCTACTTCCTGTCTGGATGAACTCTCCAGCCATCTATATCCTTTGGGTGCCAGTATTCTGATGTCTATGGACCTTGTCTAGGGGCTGCCCTGCCCTCTCTCTTCCGGTCGGAGGCTTAACGTGAGACTGGGGGTGGGAGGAGAGTGAGGTTCGAGTATTCATGCACCCAGATGCCTCTCTGCTCAACCATGGGTTGTCAGTGGCTGCCTTCATCTGAGAAAGGCCACACCTCTAGTGGGCAGGACCCCTCCTACTACTTCCTCCCCTCCGTGCATGGGGAGGAGGGGCTTCTTACTGAGGCTGTGCCCTGGATGTTTTACCCTTAAGCCTGCCTACTCCTTTGGAAAGAACTCCTTCATCACATTCCCATGGGAGTGTGCCGTCTGTGTTTTGCCTTTCCAAGGTCAAAGCGGGGAGGATTGAGCAGTTCTGACACAGGTAGCTGGAGTAAACATTTTGACTAGTATAGACACTTCCGGGCTTCCCTGGTGGCGCAGTGGTTGAGAGTCCGCCTGCCGATGCAGGGGACACGAGTTCGTGCCCCGGTCCGGGAAGATCCCACATGTCACGGAACGGCTGGGCCCGTGAGCCATGGCCGCTGAGCCTGCGCGTCCGGAGCCTGTGCTCCGCAGCGGGAGAGGCCACAACAGTGAGAGGCCCGCGTACCGCAAAAAATAAAAAAATAAAATAAAATAAAGCAATAATAGGAATGGGTAACATTAAAGGCTTAAATGAGTCCACTTGCCCTGGAGGTTCTCCAGTCCTCGGGACCTAGGGAAGAATGAGAGGCTTTTGGAACAAAGGGGTGAGGGGTTAAGTCAGTGCAGAGTGTGATTTCTGGTGGGCAGACAGACCATGTGAGTGTCCATAAGTCCTGCTAAGCTTTCTTCAAACCCAATGATTAGCAAAAACTTCTCAGGACGATGACAGGATAGCTCTCTGGTTAAGTGAATATTAAAGCTAAGAAATGGTCATAGAATTAAAAGACTTTCTTTTTTTCATAGAGAACCATAAAGACTAAACAAAATATGGCTTGTCTATTGAGTTCCACCCTATAAAGCCTTCCCTGACAAGAGTCTTGCTCCTAAGGCTGGGCTCCAGTTCTTGCTTCTCTGTCCCTGCCAGTCCTAGGACCCTCCCCATCATCACATCATCACTGAGTTCTTTCTACTGCAGATTGTTTGAGCTCATGTCTTTTCCCCTCCAATTAGATTTTCAGCATTTAATGGGTCTTAGCTGTTGAGTGCATGAATGAATGCATGCTCTTCTCTCTCTTCCTTTTCATCTTCCGCCCTCTCCCCTCCTCCTGCAGGTTCCCCAAGTTAGTGCAGGGGTTTGCTGTCCCAGACTTTCTCCAGCCTGTTAGGGAAGCTGTACCACCAGGGATATGCAGACAAGTTCCTTTACTTCAAAGTCCTTGGTGACTCTCTCATCCTAGACTGGGCAAAATGATACTGAGGACTTGGGTATCTCTTTCTCAAAAGATAACTGCTCCTTCCAGGTTTACATTGTTATCCTTATTGTCAACAGCCATAACAGCTAACAGTTATGCGCATTTGTTATATACCAGGAACCGATTATTCCATTGTTAACACCCACAATGACTCTAAGAAGTAGATGCATCGCCGTTCATCTTTGTGACCTTCGTTTTGTAGGTGAGGAATGTGAAGCTCACAAGGGATGCCTTAATTTGTCAGGATCACATAATTAATGAGAAGTGTTAAGAGTCGAATCCAGGTTTCACTTTCCAGCCGGTGTCCTTCATCATTCCTACTGCTTCTGCTTCCCAGCCCATCTCTGTCCGGTTCCCTCTGCTGATGGTGCATTCTGGGATTTATGTGAAACAAGGAGAGTTTCTACTGGGTCCTTTGATTTTATGAACTATGGGGTTTTGCAAAACCAGAGTCGGCACAAGCAAGGAAGGTGTAGTCAATTTGGAGCTCCTTGAATTTTAGCAAAATAAAGATACCACCCGACAGGAGTGGGGTGCCTAGTGTTACAGAGGCTATGCAGACACTCCGAGTTCAGTGGACCTGGCAGTACGTGGCCTCCAAGGCTGATCCTGATGAAAACTAACTTAAATCGACAGAGGTTAACCTCATCACAAGTGACCCATTGGGCTGTGATGCTGGGGAGACCTAGGCGGTGGGCCACGTGTATCCTCAGGGCTGGAATGTAACTAACCAGACAGGTGACAGTACAATCAACTGAGGAGAGACTCAACCTGCCTGAGTGAAACACAGGAAGAGGATGTCCCAGCCAAGCTGAGCATTCTGGTTGCCGGGGCAGCTCTAATTTCATAGAGACAATAGTCTGGTTTCTTCCTTACGCTCCAATTCTTGGCTCATGGATTATCCTTCCGAGAAGAAGTTGGCTTCAGATAGAGGCTTTTCTGCAGGGAGAGAGTACGCTGAGCAGACAGTTCGAGGCTGTTGGTCGTGTTGGAAATCACATTTCTCACCCTAAGTTAATAAGTGGTGTCTGACTTTGACAATGATTTTGGGCAGCTTGAGCCGGCCCCACCAATACCAGGCATTTCTGGGTGAGTCCTTCTTTCCTGGAACTATGATATCATCCCATTGTCTGTGCTCCATGCACCTATGAGCTCTTTGAGGCTGGCAGCTGGAGCTTACTCATTAGTGTCTGGGGGGATTATGGTCTGGCCTGTAGCTGTTGTTCAGAGAACATCTATTGAATGGGTGTGAACCGTGCTAGTTTTAGAGCTCCAAAGCTGAGAAGGTAGTAATCAGCACCTCAATGCTGAATGTATCAGGAAGTTATTTTTTCCCTGTCACTGGGACACCTGACCCAAGAGTGATGGTTGCTATCCCAGTCTCGTGTGGACCATGGGGCTGGAGATAGAGGCCCAGGTGGGGAGGGGGGTGGCACTGTGGGGAGGATGGTCCTAATAGCACCCACCGTGCTGGAGTGGGACCTCAAAGCAGCCTGTAACCATGATGACTGGACTGATATCGTGCACTTTAACTATTTTCAATTAAAGCAATGAAGGCCTAGTAAAGTCATTTTTAAACTACTTTTTAAGACTTTTCTCATAAATAAAAAACTAGGAAAAGCAAGTCTCTGTCAGCCAAGTGTCCTGATGTCTGACTCAGAAGCTAAGGTCACTCTAACCCAACATTCCAGCTTGGAACCTTGAGGCTGTTCTCCCATGGTTGACCCTTCGAAAGCCACGTGGGTACCATGGTGTTATCGCTGTCTGGGTTCATGCTTGCCTTCTTGCCCAGAGGGTGAGTGCTTCTGAGGATAAGGCCATGGCCTCACATGTGCCTCACGGTACAAGTGGTTATAGCACAGTGCTCTACACCCTGAGTAGTGTGCACAATAAAAATTTGGAAAGAATAACCAGCTCCACAATAGGCAGCATTTTTATTTAGCTGAGGTTCCCTCCTCCTTGCTTCTTCTACCCTGGAGTCGAATTGCCTGATTTTGAATCCCAAATTACTACTTACTAGCTGTGTGATTTTGGGCAAGTGACATTTCCTCTTTGAGCCTCAATTTCATCCTCTGTAAAATGGGAATAATGATAATATCTACCTCATGAGTTGTGAGAATTAAATGAGATAATAAAATGAATATTATAATAATAGGAAATATGGACATAACACCGTAACTCAGGCATTTTTCTAAGTGTTTTACATGTATTAACTCATTTAATCTTCATAAGAATTTTGATACACGCAAAGTATCTAAAAAGCAGTTTCCACTAATGGTTACTATCCAATAAATGATAGATATAGTCATTATTAAGTCACTGTCAGCCAATATTGTAGAAGAAAGCATATGATAAGATAGGACGTGAATTTATATTAGGATGTGAATAACTGACAATAGCTGTACGTTACTCAAGAATAGCTATTGAGAATTAAATATTTGCATCTAATTAGATAATTTTTTTTTTTTGCGGTACGCGGGCCTCTCCCTGTTGTGGCCTCTCCCGTTGCGGAGCACAGGTTCTGGACGCGCAGGCTTAGCGGCCACGGCTCACGGGC